ATTCATCAATTTCTTTGGCCTCTTTGTTAATTTCCCAAGCTTGGTCATTGGCGGCCTGGCCGCAAACAAGAAACACAAACATCGGCTTGTCCCCAAACAACGGCTAGCCATCTGCTGAAGATAAGGAACAGGACCATGACAATGAAACAACCATAACAACCATATGGGTTGATTTCTACGCCAAACTATTAACAGGAAAACATGGGGACTTTCGTACCGATTCTGAAATTCAGGGAGTTTCCTGACCAATTTCTGGCTGGAAGAATCGCACCTGGATTGCGGCCACTTTCTCCTTTTGTGCCTGGCGGAGAAGTGGCTAACATCATTCATCCCATGGGATTCTCCGAAACTTGGAACACATCCCATGGTGCTGAGGTGCTTTTACCTACGAGTAGTATATATATATATCTTATAGATTTTATGTGTTCCAACACGTTCCAACCATATATATATATATATACCACATATATATATACCACATATATATATATACCACATATATATATATACATATATATATATATATGTATACATATATATCCATCTAGGTGTTCCAACCGGATTCCAACCGCCAGTCATGGATCATTTTCCCTATGAAAATTGCAATACCATTGGGGCTATCCCGAGTATCCCGTCCCATTTTCAGACTCCCCCAGGTATCATATTCTTCGTTAGTTATGGGAAACATAATCCCATGAAAATTGCCATTACCCTCTGGTTATGACTAACAGTTTGCCATGGAAAATCACCATGCTATTAATAGGTAAATCATCTATTTCTATGGGCAATTTTAAATAGCTATGTTAGTTTACCAGAGGGTATATCCCACATAACTAACGGTTGATGAAGCCATGTCACCTGTTGGTTAGATCCCCATTTTCAGACGCTGTTGGACGGTACCAGACCTCTTTTTGTTCTCCTGTGGAATATATCGCCATTAACATGCTATGATATGACCACCATTTTATGATATACTCTATGACTCTATGTTTTTATGGCTCCGATGGATGCTTGATTTATGTTGGTCTAATCAAGTTTAATCAAGTTTAATCAAGTTTAATGTGGGTACAACATGGTAAAACAATGATTCAAACCATCCCCCAGTCACCATGTTTACAGCTGGAAGTAGCGGCTACCCCCGTTCGTCATAGCTGGTCATTGGTCATTGCCTCCTGCAGCGCCCGCACGGCGTTTTCGAACTTCTCGGCCTGGCAAATCAAGAACAACTGGAGATCAGTTGATTACCCGGCCTGGTAACCAATGGGATATTAAGAGATATTAATGGTTAATGATGGCTAATAGTGGTTTTCATAATGGTTTTCCTGAGATCTAGATATACCATCCTCTCAACTACTATCCCCAGACCCTAGGAAACTTCATTGTAGACCCTGGATCTACGGTCTGAAGTGGGGTCTGGGATGATAATCCCTAGGTGATTCCAGAAATATAACGGAACCATGCTAGACCTTACCTAGGGGTCCGGGAACTTGCACATAACACAGCTATGATCCTGGAAGGCTCAGAGAGGTAACTTCACTTTAGACCCCTGGTTCCTTCAAACAGCTCCCGGCATCTCCGGCAGTAAGCCTAACAAGACGCATCCTTCCAGGTATTTTGGGGTTGGATGTGTATGTAATGTGTCCCAATATGTTTTTCCTATCTTTTCCTCATCTTCATGGGTCTGAAATGGTTTGCCTGATCCTGAAACCGTAAGTATTCACCACAAATGCTATGGGAACATCATTTCCGACCCATCAAGATGGACCATTCCCAACTATACAGAGGAGAAACCATCACCATCAAGAAAGAAATCAATGATATGTGTTGATACCAATGGGTATTTGATTTGGAATCATGTCCACCTTCGAGGTATTTTGGGGTTGGATGTGTATGTAATGTGTCCCAATATGTTTCTCCTATCTTTTCCTCATCTTCATGGGTCTGAAATGGTTTGCCTGATCCTGAAACCATAAATATTCACCACAAATGCTATGGGAACATCATTTCAGACCCATCAAGATGGACCATTCGCAACTATACAGAGGAGAAACCATCACCATCAAGAAAGAAATCAATGATATGTGTTGATACCAATGGGTATTTGATTTGGAATCATTTCCACCTTCGAGGTATTTTGGGGTTGGATGTGTATGTAATGTGACTCGATATGTTTTCCTATGCTTTCCTCATCTTCATGGGTCTGACATGGTTTACCACATCCTGAAACCATAAATATTCACCACAAATTCTATGGGAACATCATTTCAGACCCATCAAGATGGAACCATTCCCAACTATAGAGAGGAGAAACCATCACCATCAAGAAAGAAATCAATGATATGTGTTGATACCAATGGGTATTTGATTTGGAACCATTTCCACCTTCCAGGTATTTTGGGGTTGGATGTGTATGTAATGTGACCCGATATGTTTTCCAATGTTTTCCTCATCTTCATGGGTCTGAAATGGTTTACCACATCCCGAAACCATAAATATTCACCACAAATGCTATGGGAACATCATTTCAGACCCGTCAAGATGAACCATTCCCAACTATAGAGAGGAGAAACCATCACCATCAAGAAAGAAATCAATGATATGTGTTGATACCAATGGGTATTTGATTTGGAAGCATTTCCACCTTCCAGGTATTTTGGGGTTGGATGTGTATGTAATGTGACCCGATATGTTTTTCCTATTTGTTTCCTCATCTTCATGGGTCTGAAATGGTTTACCACATCCTGAAACCATAAAAATTCGTTTATCGCAACCATCCATCAAATATGTTATTCGTTTATTGGTGCGATTATGCACCATTATGAACCATTACAATCCATTACATAAAAAATAACATCGCCATTTTACCATCATCTTGTGACAACAAGATTGCGCCTTATGTCTCCACTGGTTGTGGTTGATTGATGTTGGTTGTGGTTGCTTGGTATGCGTTTGGCAACCTTTATTAAGGTTCCAAGGATGCAAAGGGTCTAGGATGAAGTTCCCTATGCAAAAGCCAAAAGGTCTAGAATGGGTTTCCCTCATGATAGCAAGGGTCTAACATGGTAGGAGGCAAAAGGTCTACAATGATTTTGAGACCATCTTAGACCTTCCATATTGGGAGCCCTAGGCAAACCATCTTAGACCCTCTAGTAGTTGAGGGTATGATATACCCACTGGTAAACATACAAAAAGCTATTGAACATGGTGATTTGGTTATAGTGGATTTTGCTATAAAATGGTGATCTTCAATAGCTTTTTATGTAAACGTTGACCAGGCCGGGTATCCAGAACACTCAGAGTAGGTTGGCTTCAATTACTGCAAACAAACGACACAGAACGCTGGGTCAAAACGGCACCCGCACTTTTTCGCGCCAATGATTCAAACTCGCAACTGCGACTAATCAATCCTCTAACTAGAAAGGCTCCAAACCATCCAGTTTTTTTCTGGCTATATTATATACATATATATATATACATATACATATATCTGATGTTATGTAATGATATACTGATATACATGTTTTTTTTTCTGGCTAGGAATATCACGGCTCGCCAGCAACCTTGGAGCCATGGGGATCACAGGGGATATGGTGCCATCGCCGGCAATACCACATGGAAAAGAATCGGGTGGGGAAAACACTTTTCTCGACTGGGTTGAATGTCAAAATCGGCCATAAAAAACCATCAATTTAACCATCACAAAAAAAAGAAACATTGAATTGCCACAAGTTGGGGGCATGCCAAATTTTGGAGAAACCATATGACAGTTCACCCAGTTGTCATTTGGTCACCACCACCCGAAAAAGGCACTGCGGGTCAGCTGGAAAAGGCGCAAGCGTTTTGAATGGATAGTCGCTGCAGTAAACCCCCCCAACAAAAAAGAAGTAAAATCCCACTGAACTAGTGATAGAGTAGAGCTTTTCATAGTTTTCTATCTTTTTGGGGATTACATCATGTTTATTCTGCGTACTTCACTATTAGACATCGAACATGTACCGCAATGTTGTGTAGTTTCTGAGTTGAGAATGAACCTATCCCGTGTTCCTTTGAGAAACATTTGAGAAACATGCCAATGGTTGCACTTTCCAGGAACGCTGTGTTCCTCTGATCACCAAATTGAATGGACCAACACGTCCGAATCAATCCTTGAACTGCAGGACTGCCTGCGGTCCATCAATAGTCCATACTAGTCCTTACTGACACAAAAAAACCTTCTATGATAATTACTAATGTCCTCTAGGTGTTCAACTGCCTGGCTCCCGGTTTTAACCAGTTTGTGTTCCCTGTATTGACCAATTTTGACCCCTTTTGGTGAAAAAACCATGATCCAATGGATCTATCCATCAATCCCATGACGGCGTCAGATCGCCGCAGGACCAGCGCGGGACCAAACTCCTCGTCATGCAATGGGTCGCGTTTCAACCAGGACAGTCGTGGAAGATAAGATGCCCGAAAGTTCAAAAACATGGCTGTGGGTGCTTCAAAACGCATCTTGATGTTCTGTATCCCATTCTCCCGGCACCCCACATTGACCCATACACTTCTGAAATCGCCAGGGCTGGGGGGTACAAAGCACAAAGGGGGTGAACAGACATGTAGGAATCCTAACCAAAGAAAGATATGGAGAAAATCAGGATCAACTTGTGAGACCTCTTGGGACCCGACTTTTCTCCGGACTTTTCCATGTTTTTTTCAGGGCAAGGACTTCAGGGTTCATGATCATATGAGCAGTGTTGGGAATGTATGATATATGGGAATATATTTACATTGTGAATAAATATATACATATATATATATACAGTCACGTACAGTATATACAAGAGCATATGACTGCTTCCTGACCAAAATATCATTGTACACCCTGGACATCTGACCCCGAATAGAAACAAATAATAGGATATATTTGATATTAACGATATTACACCTAGGCGACATCATAAATGAATATATCAATTGGATATAATTGATAAGAAATTGATATTGCCAATTAAGTGAGCACATCATCGTACTTGGTAGTTGGTTACATTGCAGATTGGTGACCAAGATTTCAGCAAGCGGCTCTTCTCAAAGATGAAGTCCCCCTTGACCGCCCGCTGAGCCAAGCAGTAGCGATATGGCCAACTCAAACAAAGGATGCAGCAGATCGCCTTGGGAAAGTTCGTCCATTTTTTCCGTTTCGCTGTATGACTCTGGAGTCAGGAACTGCAAGAAATGCGGAAAAACCAGTGCGTGCCTTTGGCGTTGTAGTTGCACACAAATGTATAGAGAATAAACCACCTCCTATGTGTTTAATGCGGGGGGGTTCGCAGAGATGTTGAACAGAACAATAGTCAGGGAAACTGGATGGCACGAGTGGGCACTGGGATTTTTCATAAAAATACTGAAAGTCAATTTCCCAGGTATTCAGTGATGATCAGGTGAGTAGATTTCATGCAAAATTTCCAGGAGACCATGGTTCTGGAAATGAACGGTTCCTTCAATCAATTCTGCCGTCCTGAAATTTGACGGTTGGGGTCATTGCAGAAGGGGGCTCATCGCTGTTGGTTTTTTTTTGATGTCATCGTCTGCACAAGCCTCTCCTGCCAAAGTGCGGAGATGCATCCACAAGATTGCTGAAAATGTTGGTGTATAAGTCTAAGTGGGATTCGTTTGATCTGACCAAATCTGTTTCAATTCAGCATTCTGAAAGAAAACACTTCCAGGGTGATGTCCTATGAATTTCGGAGAAAGCGTCCATTTTCGGCCCTTGGAAAGCTTCATCCAAGCAACGTAGGGCAAATAGCCCAACCACATAGGGAAAGAGTCGCCAGTGGTTCCGATCATGTCAGTGTAGAAGGGGCATTCCTCCACAACAGCAGCATCAAGAGGTAAAGAATGCAATGGTCCAAACTGTTGAATGTTCGTAACAATAATAACATATATATATATAATAACATCATCAATCGTCAATCATCAATATCATCGTCGTTGTCGTCGTCGTCGTCGTCATCGTCGTCGTCGTCGTCATCATCATCATCATCATCGTCATCATCATCATCATCACCAAATCACAATTGTGGCCCATAGTTTGCAGTGTTTGCCCTATCTAACCATCACAGATTGATGGTTTCAACTGCAAAAAAAATGGTCTATGGATGGTGAGGTCAGCCTCCGAGTAGCTAAATGAAATATATAATTAAATTACCAAAAGGCATCTCCACTGAAAATGGCACCAGATTTTGTTGAAAAACCACCTTGGTTGCCAAGCTTCCTGACCCTGTTCATCTATCAACCTCAGCTCCTCTGACATGTCATGGCTCACGTCCTCAGCATCGGAAGCTGGATCTGAAAATGATCAACGGCCATATGTAAGGGGATATACCCCCAGAATATGGCCTTATATGGTACAGTACCTCCATTTTAGGATCCTGAAGATCTCCCATTGAAATGAGGAAGCCAAAAAAAATGCCTAGTTTCTTCCAACAACTACGCCTGTGAACATGACCATTGAGGTATCCTTGGTGAATATGGGCTGCCATATGCTGCCATGATGCTTATGCCATCAAACTCCCATAGAAATGTGAGATGATGGACATGGGAGCACAGTCATGTGGAATCCACCATCTTTCGGATGATCTTGGCAGTGGAGCAGTGAAACATACCCCTATCCCATAACATACTGGTTGGTTTTAGAATAGGATAGGTACACAATATATGGTATCCCCACTATGGGCTGGAATTGTCCCCTATCAACCAGAGAGTATGACCCTCCTATAACAGCCAACAAAGACTGTTCTGATCTTGGTTTTTAATGGCTCAATTATTGAAGGAAACCATCAAAGCACTCCATGACTACCAGTGCACTCGACTCATGCCACGCTTTTTGCCGCGCAGATGAACTGTCACTGAAATTCAGATTCCAGAGGAGCAGGCCCCGAAAGGCCGGCCCACCTGGCCTATACAAGTCAAAGCTAGTGAGCTAGTGCTCTGGTCAGAACAGGATGAAGACATGCAGAAAATCATCTGGTTTTCAATAGTCAAATTCATGACGAGGAATTTTCAGAATGAGATTATCCAACCCTCAGCAGGGACATGTTTACTCCGATTGTCACCAGTCACATCAATCACTAGAGCCACTAGGGTCAAGGTGAAAGCAACAAAGCATTTCTGCAAGTCTGCAACTGCCGGACACTGGCGGGGCAAACTAAGTTCGTCAGCAATTCTACAGGCTGCAAATGTTCCGAATTTCGCTTCATTGAAACTCCCACGAAATTGGCTAAGTTCTCTACAGAGGCGTCCAACCAGAACCGAGTGGCGTCATCCTCTGTTGCAGTCAACGGCTGCCGTGGCTGCGGGATCCGTGGGAAGGATGCGGCGGAAGAGCAGGATGTGGGGCTCAGGGGAATGAACTTCCTTGGATGTTACCAGGAAAAATGTCAGATTCATCATGGGGATATGATAGGGGGATATGATGGGAATATGATGTGGGGTACCTACAATTGAATGGGCGATTCATGGCGATTGTCCGTATTTATGTTAGTTTACTGAAGGGTAAGGGTGCTATTAAAAAAGGCAGAATAGGAGCAGTAGATTCAAGCTATTTCTGGTGGATATCACCGGAAAAACGCTAAAAACATCAGCAACTCCAGGCATCATAATGGATCCATCCGCGGGTTTGTTGGTTCACCCCTGCAGCACGCCACTCTTTCTCCGGCATCAAACGACTCATGAAATTCGTCAAGATCCAAACTTTGCGGGCTGTGGCCTCATTCATGATCACATGACGGTACTCATAGCAATCATCCTGGTACTTCTCCGAATAGACGTTCTCTTCGGGAAAGCGGATTCTCATTCTCATCATCACCGGAAAAAAAAAGAGGGGGGCACCGGGCACCGCTTTCCAGTCGACTCCGGTGCAAAATGCGAGTCGCCGACTCGCCTTTTGATGTGGACCCTGAGCCAAAATGCTCTGCGGGATTGATGCCTTGATGTGGACATGTTTGGTGTCATAGCATGCAAAACATCTACCATCTGGTTATGACTAACAGTTCGCCATGGAAAGATCCACCATGCTATTAAGAACGGTAAACCATCTATTTCGATTAGGGCCATGGCTTCCATGGCTATGTTAGTCATAACCAGAGGGTAAATGGATGTAAATGGTACATTCGATTCTGTTGGTATATTGATGTATATTGCATGAAGCGTTCATTTTTTCTTTTGTCAATTGCTTATTGCTTGACATCATGTGGGACATGGAATCCCCCATCTGCCTAACAAGAGATATCTACAATGCCAACGGATCAATAAACTCCGCTTGCTTAAGAATCGGAAGGTAACCTTCCAAAGCGTGACAAGGTGCGATACCATCTGCGACAAAAAAAAACTATATCCCGAAAGTAAACAGCCTAGGGATGAATAAGAATCCGGGCCTGGCATGATGGACAGTGAAAAATCCGTTGCAATTTGGTTCGTCCCTTTGCTCGGTCGATGATTTGGTGAAAGTATTCAAATCCTTTTAAGATATCACCAAACATATCATACACCTCATCACCATTGTCATATCATATCATATCCCATCCATCGTTAATCCAAAATCGCCATTTCCTCCTTTCACTTTCGGCTTTCTCAAGGATCCGCAGCAGCTGCCCGGGCTTTCAAGGCCTGTCTCTGGCGTTCATGGCTGCGATGTGTCTCGGCGTCTCCCGCCTCTGGCGTTCTGGTGATCGCCGTTTCCCCCGGTTGTCATGGAAAAATACGCTGCGAATGGTGGATTTCGGCGGATTTCGGCGGATTTCCATGTGTTTGTTTCCATTTCTTGGAGATTGCCTTCTGTTTTTGGCTCCAAATATGGTACCCTTAGGTGATTAAAAACAACCTGTTGAGGTAATGAAACGAGTTGACATTGGTCGCCGGCATGCAAATATCCAAGGATGGGATCTAGCAACCAAAAAGAGGTTGAACATGTTTCAATGATTTCAATGATCCCAATTTGTCACCAACAAGGAACATGCTCTAACATGCTCTAACACTGTCTACACATTGTGCAAAGGAGTTAAGTCACGAAAAAAAAATATAAGGTCTTGGATGATCATCATGAGGATACTTTGTAAGCGGCTACGAGTCTACGAGCATGCAAAATGTTAATCAACAAGGGAGGACCCAAACCCTAGAGCAATAGACAATCACCCCCCAAGAAACAGGGAGCGAGCCTTGAAATTGTCAATTTTCAGCTCTACTCAAGGAATTATCCTCAAAAACTGAGAGTGACATGATTATCCACCCGCACCTCCCATTGAATCTCAAAGTGAACGTGTAGGAGAGGAAAGTAGCCTTACTTTGGGAGGGCTTGCCGGGACCTCTTTCGCCAGGATCTACTTTCGGAACTTTCAGGTGAGGATGGCGAAAAAAAATTACAGCCCCTGTTTTGTGAACGCGGGATCTACAAGCCCAGAAGCCCCAGTTTTGTAATTCTGATCATCTCCTGGACATCGTAAGTGTTTCTGATTTTGTTCATGATGTGTTGATGGGGGATTCTCTTGGAAACCTTTTTGAAAAACTGAGGAGTTGAATCCATTGAGAAGCTACAACCTTGTTATTACCCTCTGGCAATGACTAACGCTTTGTTATTGAAAATGACCATGAATAGTGGATTTTCCCATTAAAAATGGTGATTTTCCATAGTTTTTTGTATGTTTACCAGAGGGTAATTGAATTGACATATTAATTGACCACATTCACGGCAGGCATGGTGCGACCCGCCCCAGCTTCTCCTCCAAGAGACTCAAGCCATCTACCACCTGAATAATTCAGGCGGCTGCCCAACAGCAATGTGTGAGGTTGATGAACATTTTTCATAGTTTGTCAACAATCAATGTTTCAACAACCTATAAGATCCTCTAAGTCTCTAAATATTTCTAAGTGATGCAACCAACAAGACTACAAGACTTGGATAAAATCTCACTGATGCCATCAACGACAAGTACGATGACATTTACCACGATCAGTGGAGACACTGAGTGCCAAAGATGAACCCCTCCTGGTAATCTAACGTGGTGATGGGAAAAAAATGCCTATCTACAATCTACAACTCGATATTTGTCCATTGCCATCCATGGCTGATTGGAAGAATCAGAGTGCGACAAGGCAAGAAACATCAGCCAACCCCCATTCTCCCATTTTCCCAATTTTACCACTTGGGGACCTTGCAGGATGATTAACACCATCAGGAAGGGATTTAGACTTGGGATTACGCCACAATCATAAATGGGATTCCAAACATAATGGGTGGTATAGTGGTTATGGGGGAACGACCAACTCTTGCGAAAATAAACCATGTTTTGATTCGAGTTTGTACATGAATACATCCCAGGAATTCCCAGGATATCCGCATTCTAATATTCTACATGGGTTTTATCCAAGTTTCCATGGTGAAGTAAAATTCCATCATATGAATCATGATCAGAATTCATCAGATATCCAAAAAACATATCCCCAAGATCTCCCCATGATATCTGTACCCTGGGTACCCTGGGTACCCTGGGTACCCTGGGTACCCTGGGTACCCTCCCCATGAACGATCAGCTCAGAGGCATTCCCCGTGATATCGTCCCATTGCGCTACCATCAAGCGTTCAGTGAAGCTGGCCGTGTCAACTCGTTCGCTGTACGTTTCCTTGGGGATCGGGTCATGATGGATATATATATATATATATATTATAGTTAATGGATGTGAATGGTCAATTCTGCAGCTATGACAGGAGTATGGTAAATGATTGGCAATTACAGTAATGATAAATGATTGCTATATAATTCGTGGTAGGGGTATGGTATGTTCCAATAGGTCTTCTTAAACTTGGTGTTTCCAAACATGCCACGGGGGTGAACCTGTGGTGGACTGTTGGCTCAAATACCCAAGGTTTGCGGGCTTTCTGCGGCTAGGTCTGTGAGTTGTTACTGCTTGTTCTGCCCTGGAAACTGTGACTTCTCACATCATCAATGTTTTCCAGAAAATAACTTATGTATACTTTTTACTAATGTACATATTGTACTTATGTATACTTATGTTACTATTGCTCTTCAAATCGAAAATCTAACGATATATATATATTATGATATATATATATATTATAATATATATTATGATATATTATAATATATATTATAATATATTATAATATATATTATAATATATTATAATATATATTATAATATATATATATATGTTTATTATTATTATCAATATTATCACTATTATTATTATTTATTCGTAATATTATTATTAATTATTATTATCATTATATATTATATATTATTGTGTATATTATATATATGATATATGTATCTATTATTATTATTACTAGTATTGCTATTATTATTATTATCATTATTATTATTATGTATATCCAATCGTTAGCCTAGGCAAACGAACCAACTCATCCTTTGGGATTTTTAAATAGGCAACCTTGGGCCAGGTAACTGTGCGGGTAGTGCCATCTTGATTCGTGGTGTGTCGCGTGCGTGTCTCCATGTGATAACACTGCGCCTTGATTTCTGGAGCAGGGCGACAGGCCTGCGGGGCTCATTTTCCGCGAATCGGAGGACATATCTCATCAAGTACATCTAGAAATGGAGGAATTGAAGGTTGGTATGATTGATTCACCATAGGGAAAGTGAGCAAAGTATGCCAATGTCTCCAAAAAAGAGCACAATTTCGGAAGCAGCTTGAAGCTGCTGAATATCTATGGCGCACAAGTAAAAACCCAAGCGGGATGATTATTTTGTGAGGCCCCCTTCAGATGGAGGCCACCCGAATAACATCCAACCAGACTAATTTATTGGATTTTATTGGTGGTTTTTTCAACAATGACTAATATTTCATATATGTTGTGTAATAATAATATTTCAAGACTTATATTTATATATATATATGTTTCAACATGATAGTTGGAGTTGGGAAGCCTAGAAAATCATCGCAATCCATGATAATCCCCTACCATCCCAGCACCTTAATGTCATCGATATAATCCAGGATACACTCCTTGGATCATGCTGGCCATGCAGGGCAACACGGGAGTTTACACCGTTTACGCAGACAGGAAACTCCACAGGAAACTCCTAGAAACACGCTCCCAGAAACTCCCTTTTTATGCATCCACAGCTCCCTACAGCTCCCGACCACTGGACTTTTGCACATCCAATTCTGTAGAAAAACCACATTCAAATGGATTCATGCCAAGAAGGTGCAAAAGATTGAGACAGCCCCCCAAAGTATGTGAAAATCTTGCCTGTCATGGAAAATCCCATGGCTTCATCCAGGCTTCATCTAGGCTTCCAGTTTTTGAACATCTTGGGCAGTTTTTTGGGGATTTCACAGGGCCATCAAGGAATCAAGGCACGGTTTGTTTGAGTCGCATCAGGCCCTTGGCCGTTGGGTTGAAGAATAAGGCTTCCACGAGGTAGACCACATACCACACCAGCAGGCCTGGGGCGGTGATCATAATATATCATCATGGTATCAATGGATTGGGTAAGAAAAGTTCTCAACCGGAAACCATGGTACACCCAAATCTAGCGGGCTCCGGAAACCATGGTCCCATCCAATTCTGGGTGGGAATTCCTGGCAAAAAGGTCGAACTTATGAATCACAGCTTTCCACAACTAAGGCCGCACAACTGGGAAATCAAAATGTCTTTCCGCCCCAGATTTTGAGCCCTTCCAATCCGATCCTTTGCTGTAACGCCAGGTACGCATGAAAATTGCGGGCCCGAAGAATTCAGAAACATTGCCTAGTTTAATCTACATGACTGCTCACTAGTGTGAGTTTGAAACCATCCATTCCAAAATATTCCAAATATGTCCAACATATTCTAACATATATGCTAGCCCGAACATCATGCTCACCGCGGATCTATGTATGCCCAGCACGTCCAACCTTTGCATGCTGCAAAATTAGGTTGAATGGCATGATATCCCCAATCTCATGCTCTTCATCAAATCAAATAAGAAATCATCCAGCGCCAAGCGCCTACAAAATGACTTCATTTCTGCGAATCCGTCAATCATCGGGAATTCCCAGACATCAACAAACAAACGCACATTTCAAATATTTCCGCCTGGTTTCCTCTACTGGTGACTATTAAAAAAACGAGGGTTGGTTTCAGGGTGAAACTAAGAAAAGGACACTTTGGCTTTTACCGACAAGACTGGAGGTTTCAACCGTAACAATGTTCCCTTCATCCAATTCTAATTGGATATGTGATTTTTTTTAGTGATTGAAGCTATGTCCCATGCATCCCCTCAACAAGAATAGACTTTTCAAGTGGTTTCATTAAGGTTTCAACGAGTTTCAACCCATTTTGTTGGCCCAGGGACCGTAGGGAAAGTGGAAAAATCCTGCCACCAGCGCCGTGAAGAGCAGAATGGCGACCGTCGCCGTCAGCCGCGAGCGGCGGGCGGCATCGCTGCGGGGGGAGCCATCGCCTTGCGATGCCGGTAGTGTTTGTTGGTTTAGAAATGTGGGTATGGGTCAATACCTATAGATACATTTTTAATGGGATGAACATCCATTTACCAACTATTTTGGGGTTCACTAGGTACCAGGGTTTTGACTCATAGCCATGTTTATAAACCCATTAACTATCTGGTTGGTGGTTGAGCCCTACCCCTCTGAAAAATATGAGTTGGTCAGTTGGGATTATCATTCCCAATATATGGAAAAATAAATAATAATCCAAACCACCAACCAGCCAATTATCTACCAGAAACCATAGAAACTTATGAGCATCCATGAACTACATTAATATATCATATACAGTATCTATATTATCTATACCATAAACCATGAGTTACCATATAGTTATGTGCGCCAACTTAGGTAGCCTGGGGCCTCACCTTGCTTGACGAATATTGTTTGAACCTGCTTCATATTTTTGGGATAATGTTGAAATTGGTAATTTGTGAGTATCTCCACGTATACAAGAGCATTACCCCCCAACAACTATTGAGCTATCCATTTTTGGGCAGTTTTATGATCATTTTCATTGGCATACCCTCTGGTAGACTAACATAGCTATTGAAAATGGCCCATAGAAATAGTGGATTTATCTATTAAAAATTGTGATTTTCCATAGTTATGTAAAGGTTTACCAGAGGGTACCCCACAAGTCACCATGGATGTATATTATATGATTTCCTATGGATAGTCCAATAATTATCAATATATTCATATATATTCCAATTGGAAATCATGGGACCCTCATGGGACCCCGCCCTCAGGCCCTAAAGCCTTTGCTCTGCAACTGTAGATAGCCTTGCGAGTCGGGCGTTGGAATCCCATCCTGGGTGGCGGAGTCGGCTGAACATGGGAAACCCAATGGTGACGACCGTGGGGTACCCGACCTGGTAAACTAACATTTTGCGAACTGGAAAATCACCATTTTTAATGGGTAAAACATGGGTAAAACTATGGAAAGATTCACCATTTTATAGCTGGGTAATTATCCACTATTTCTATGGACCATTTTCCATGTCGCTTTTTGTAAACGTTTGCCAGGCCGGGTACCCCCATTTTGGAAAGCTCTCCATGTGCAGTTCATTTCCCATGGCCCGGTCTCATCTGGATTCCGGAGCATACCCGGCCTGGTAAACAAACAACAAGCTATTGAAAATGGCCCATTTAATCCATTTATAGTTGATTTACCCATTAAAATGGTGATGTTCAATAGCTATGTTAAATTATTAGAGGGTAAACTGTTCCTGCGGGTGTTTCAGTCTCTTTTTCGCGCAAAACACTTTGAGAAATGGCCCTCACTGGCCCTTGAAAATGAGATTGTAACCACTCCTCAAGACTACGGTGTAGCCCATGAGTCGCATGGCTTCCACAAGGTCTTCTCCAGCCGCTTCAATGATCACAAGATCAAAGCTGCATCCCAGCTCGTGAATTCGTGAAAAGATACTTCCTGGTTGGTGGTTGAGCCCTACCCCTCTGAAAAATATGAGTTGGTCAGTTGGGATGATGACATTCCCATATATGGAAAAATAAAAAACAATCCAAACCACCAACCAGCTATAGATATATCTACCAATTATCTACCAGAAACCATAGAAACTCATGAACATCCATGAAAATAAAAAATCTTCCAAACCACCAATCAGCTTCTATCAGATCCTTCAGCATCTATTGACAAGACACTGAAAGTCTGAGAGTTGGTCTCCCCACAGCGCCCTGTTTTCAGATATTCTTTCTGTTGATCACAGACCATCCGCGCATCCGCTCCGGCCACATGATATCGGTAGTCCGGCTGGGGATCGTATTGACGCCGGGTCTTCACCAAAGTGCTCTCCAAAGAGGCTGGAAAGACACGATATTCCATGACGTCGGCGCTCTTCATCAAGGCCATGTTATACAGTTCCACCCGGCCTGCGAAGGGCGAATCCGCGGTGGCATAGCGCCGTCGCAGGGACAAGAAGACTTCGGCTTCGGGCTCAAACAACACCGCGGAATAGTTCAGATAATTGATGAGATAAAATGAATTGGAGTTCCAAACGCCATCATTTGCTCCAATGTCCCAAATACAGCCACCTTTGGGCACCAAGATTCCTTGCTCTTTCAAAGTCACATAGATTTGTCCTTCAGACAAATCAGATCTCAAAGCCGGCGCCATAAGTCCACTTAGTGGGATGAAGTTGGCTCTGAGGAAACGATATTTGGTCATTCGTTGCCAGGTCAGAAAGACCCCCAAGCAGCTCGCCAGAGCCAGAAAGAGGAGCTTTTTACGGCGAGGGAAAACTGGGAAGCAGCAAACTTTGGCCAAGGAACCCCCAGGGTTTTCCTTCATCCATCTGTTGAAAGGTACACAGCGCCCATGGCTTGCTTAGGACTAGGGTGTTTCATAGCCGTATTTCTGGGAAAATGATCAACGACCTTGAGATTTTGCCGTACCCTATGATGTAGCAAGCAAAGCAAAGAAAAGCATGACTTTCCATGACTTGCGAAAAATCATGGAACATTCTAACAAATGCAGCCGTTCGAAATGGAACAGTAACACCCACTCTATCTGCACTGGCACCTTCTTTTCCAAAGACTGACGAAACACAGAATTGAACGGCAACTGGAAAGAAAACCCCGTCCATGACCCAATTGACACTGTTACCCAAAATTGTTCTGCATTTTCGCGGATGACTGGGTGTTCCCCAATATTCACAGGGTCAAATATTTTTTTCAGCTCCGTTTGATGCTCAACGCTTCATCATTTCGGGTCACTCTACACATCTCTACACCATTGTATTGGGTTTTTTGTTGGAAAATCCGCAGGAAAATCCAACGTTTCAGAAGGGAAAAACCTAGGAGTTGCTACCTTTTTCCTCAAATCATTCTCATGGGATTGTCCAGAGATGAACTCAACCTTGAAAATATGCGAGTTTCATACAAAAAATGAACAAAAAAACCATAGAACACTTCCCGGTGTGGCTAAATCCCCAGTTCTTGTGGACAAACCCACAGAAAAAATCCCAAAAATTCGCATCATCTTGCCCCAAGAATACCGTCTTTTGGTTCTGAAATCCCGATTTCTTCTGGATACATCCAGCATCAACCCACAAATCCCAAAAATGCTCATCATTCTCCAACATCCAGCATCATCATCATCATCATCATCATCATCACCAAATCACCAAATCACAAATGTAGGCCCACAATGGCCATGATGATGATTTCCCATCCCGCAATGGATGATGGAAATATATGGAAATGATGGGAAATGACACATCTGACATCTGACAGTGGCCCATCATTTCCCATCCCAGGTCCACCAGGCCCATCTTCCCATCGTCCCAGTGGCAATCTTCATCATCGTCAGATCGATGCGTCCGCTCTCCGCCAAGCTCTCCACACGGACCCCGTTGCCCTCCACCGGGAGGCCGGAGCCCACGGTGATCCTCGGTGTTTCGTGGTGGCTTTTGGGGGAGAAAAATGTGGAAACCGGAAACCTCGAGTTTTTGACCACCAGAAATTGCAGGATTTTTTAGGAGTTCAACGTAGTTCAAGCGAAATTGATGGTGATTTTCATGTGAACCACCCAAAAATGAAGCTTTTTTGATGATGTAAGCAGGCAATATTCTCCAAAACTGGTCCAGATCAACATGATCATCCCGTGCCGCGCGTGGTATCTTATGGTAATCACTTCCTCAGCTTTGTGGTGCATTGTTGGTGATATATGTTAATACTAATGTTGTGTATATGGTGATTACACATACTGAATATGTTGTATTAATATGTATTAATACTCTAATATGTTGTTGCTTGATGATCCATGATGTTGGTGCATTGAACCCAAGCAGAATCATTGGGAGTTTCTGCCACTGCTTAGCTCTTATTTGTGCACTATGGAAAACTATTACATACCATTCTGCGAACTAACACAATATCGAAAATCGACAAATACAATAGATTCCGGAAGAAAAAGTATAGTATATCAGTATATCATGTTCCCTATTTTCAAAAAATGTTGTCACCATGTGTGTTATTTTAGTTGTTTCACTGCAGGGTAACCGCTATAAACATCAGACACCCAGATCGAGCTGCAGCTTGAAGGTGTAGGGAGAGACCTGGAGTTCCCGCGCCATGAAGTCCTTTAACTCCGATGCTTTGCTGTTGCCAGGGACATCTACCTGGGGCCAAGTGACGCACTGGCACTGCGACATTTGACCCCCTGTTTCAGGCCTGAAAGAATGAATCCCCCACCATTCTTGGAAAACACCCGGAATGGTTGAAACATGTTGAAAACCTCTAAAAACCACGGATTTTATGGTCATTTTTTTGGGGGATTGATGCCCCTTGTTAAACATCGTCTATGCCTTCAGGTGGCAGGTCGCGATTTCTGGCAACTCTGAGATGTATGCTGATAGTCTATGGGGATATTCGATTGATATAACCACCCACTTTAAACTTTATGCTGAGATATATCTGGAATTAGTCCGATATGATGGGATGTATATGTTTGCCTTATTATTTTTGGCATTTTTGGGCTGTCTCTGAAAATGGGATACCCGGCAGATGGTTATGTTTAATGGGAAAACGATGATCAACCGTGAGATTTTGGGGTGCCCCATTCTCAGACCACCAAACGGCACCCAGTGGGCAGCCTACCCAAAAAAATAGCTGGTTCATGGATGTTTCCCAGAAATATGGTAATTTCATGTAATTTCATGTTTTGAACCCCACATCTTCTTTTTTCAGCTGGGCCACTGTGCACAGCTCATCACCTCCCAGGCTTGACAGTACCACGTGCAGGCTGCTCCCAGCCATGGCGTCGAGATGAAACGGCGAACTTTGGGATCTGAAAATTCTCAGGAGATCACTGGGATTGAAAAGATCGAAAAGATCGCCCAATGATCAGTTTTGAGTCGCCATAGTTTTATGTTGGGTGATCTATTGATAGTGTTCTTTTTGCGGGAAACGAGATTGGTCTCACAGAGCAAGTGCTGGGTAGCTGCTGTCCTTTGTTGGTGCGGCTTTGTACTGGTGCCCTAAGCCCCCTCTTCGACATAGCTCTTCTGAACAATAGTTGGAACACCTAAACTAGTCCAGCTGGGATGATGTTCGGGTTTGTCAAAGGAGCATCCAATTGGTCACCTACACCATCTTACACCGCCTGTGGATCTTCTGGGACTTTCCAACTGATTTTGAGCATCTTTCAGGGGCGCGAAGATGGCACGGAGCCAGAGGCCATGGCGATGCTATAATGTTGGTACCGATGCAGAAATGGCTGGTCAAAACCTCCAACTTTTTGCAGGGATCAACAGTTTCGAGCCCCATCTGGGGGTTGAGATCCAGCGCTATCCCCTTGAGATAGGTCTGAGATACTAGTAGGTCTGGGAGCCTCTTCAGCCAGAAATTCGTGAGGCAATGCTACTTTTTGTGAGGCCTCTCTCATTGTCTGCATAAGAATCATAAGTAATCTCCAGCAAAATTCACTCTGTCAGATGTGAGATCAAAAAAATGACAAGAATACTATTGTTCCTGTCACCTGTCGGTTTTAGCACAGACCCAACAAATGTTTGCGGACCATTCTCAATGATCACCAAGACCGTTTGTCAATATTCCTAGGTTGATATAGTTTGATGCTCCCTATCACCATCGAAGGTAAATCTGTGCAAATGACTAGACTTCCTAAATCAGAACTATGCAAAGAAAGTCGCCAAAAAAAAATCCCGGATCCATCCGGATCCTATCATTTACTGGTGATGTTCGGGGTTTTCATGTCCCCAGCAGCGAGGAGGGGCCTGCTTTTGGATGCGCTCGGGATCTTCTTTGATCTTGTTGAGCTCCGAATCATAGACCTGCGATCCATCCGAGATGGCGACCCGTGGACTCAGTGGACTCGGGGGAAGTGATGTTCCAGCCATGAGGAACGATCAAGTCAAAACTTAACAAGATAATGATGATAAACAATGATAAACATTCATAAACCATCATAAACCAGTAAATCTATGGAAATCTATGGAAATTATCATAGACGGTTTATCATAAACCATCTATGGAAATTTAGAAATCATTAAACATGATCATAAACCATGATGATAAACATTCATAAACCATCTATGGAAATCGATGGAAATCTACCTCTGAATTCAGACAAACCGACGCGGGCGAGTGTCGCCTTGCAAATGTCACGGTTGTTCTCCATCTCCTGCTCCACCTGTGGTCCAAAAAAATGATCTGTGGATTCAGTGGTTGCTGTCAGATTGCTCCAAAATCTCAGGGAAAATGAGGATTTCGTTTTGGCCCATTGGATTAATTTTGCTACTCCATGGTATATATATAATATATATATAATATATATAATATAATATATAATATATTATATATATATAATATATATGCTACTCCATTAGGCACCCCATTTTTTAGCCCTATGTCACTATGAACATTTCAGAACCACAACGTAGACTCGTCCCCGCTGGGCGATTCCAATGGCCATCAAATCATAAGGACCATGTTCCATGGATGTTCGCGAAATCTTTGCCCAGAATGATAACCAAATCCCTCCAAAAACACACTTTGGGTATCTAAACAAGCCAACAAAAAAAAAGTCATGGCTCATCATGGTCTATCATCATATATTTCATATATATTTCATATATATTCCCCATGTCGATCGTCATTTAATCATCATTGCATTGGGGTCATAGGGGTGTTACAGCTGTTGACGGCCTCCTTGAGGCGGGAATTGTATTCCTCCAATTTCTCTTGGTAGCTCTCCTTCCGCGTCTTCAGCACCTCCGATTCCTGGAAATCTGCACGAAGATCAGCTGGTGGAGACCCGCAAGGGGAGGGGTTTTGAGGCCAAGATACCACAGATCCCACTAGATTCCGGCAGATTAAGCCAATTTTTAGATATGTTATAAGATGAGATAATGGTGGAGTGTCCATACTAAAGCCCAGTGGATTCTCAATTGATGGATATTGTCTGGTGGATTGGCCAGAGGTCAATCCAGGTATGGAAATGAGATAAATGAGGCTACCACAATGCCCGCTACATCAGTCATCAGGCTTGTTTGGGCAACAAGGAGCAGGGGAGGGAGGGAAAAAAAAAAAGTGACGCCTCGATCAGCACAGTTGGTCCAACTCAAAGCCAGCGGATGTAACTGGGGTACCCTCCGGTCATCAGCTCCATGGCTGGGAAATTCCATTTGAATGGGAAGATTTGAGAAGATCATCCCAAAAAAATGGGGAATGGTCCAGCAATCCATATTCAAATGGGAAAAACATCCAGTAAATGGATCATCCATGTTTTTTCATGGGACATGTCCAATAAGTGACTCGACATTTTTTGGCCGGCACCAGCCGGGCGACTCACCTTGTTGATGAGCTCGATCTCTTCCCTTGCTCTTTGCAATTTGGGCAAGGCCTCGGCGTTTTTAAAAAGGCGGCGTGATGGGAGAAGTCACGAAGAATGCCAGATGCACAAAGTCGCAACCCCCTTTATCATCTTTATAGTACCCTCTGGTAATTTAACGTAGCTATGGAAAATCACCATTTTCAATGGGAAAATCCACTATAACTGGCCATTTTCAATAGCTATGTTAAATTACCAGAGGGTAACCCCCAGAAGAATCCAAAAGACAGAAAAGAAAGTAATCACTGACTATTCTAGTAGGATTTTCTTTTGATTTACTATCTTCGAATCTTTTTTTGGGGGTCGTAAAACACACTATGAGTCACCCTGCAGACAGTCTATCAAGGTCTTCGGGGATAGGTCCAAGAATGTTAGATGCGTACCTTACCCTCTGGTAATTTGTTACATAGCTATTGAAAATGGCCCAGTCGAAATAGAGAGTGTTCCCATTAAAAATGGTGATGTTCCATAGTTTTTTGTATGTTTACCAGAGGGTAGGTTTTACCAAGTTCAAGAATATTTATCTGGTCCGTTGCAGGAATGTAAACAAAAACAATCATCTAAGTGCAAGTAATTCTTCGCCAAGTTCCTTTTTTCTGCGCAATGGTTCCTTTGTTTTGTTGCTTGATGCCCTTGAATAATCCCATCCCTATATCCCTTTACAACATTTACCCCAATAGACATGATAGATCTCAAAATATCTATGACTGAAACCAATACTTCACTAATACTTCACTAGTCATACTAATCTTCATTGCAGTGCTTCGTGTGCGCCTCCTTTTCCCGTTCGATCTCCTTTTCTCTGAGCTGTTCCTCGCCAGGATATTTTTCCTCATTTCATCCCAGCTGGGTCTGTCACAGTGGAAGTCCAAACTGGAAATGGGTCAAAGATTAGATCATACAGATATTCATACTCAGATCTCATATCTATGTTAGAATACTCAAATAATATATAGATATATAGATATATATATATATATAACACTGACACAAGATTCTATAATACACTATAATAATAATACATATATATATATATATATTTCCCCTAAATATATACATACAATACACTAATACAATACACTAATATAGCATAGTAATATACATAAAGTTTCCCTGGAATGGCCAGATCGAAGTACCGGGAAGTACCGATCGTTCCCCTCTCCTGCTTCTCCGTGCGATCGTGGTCCAACTCTGAGATCTGAATCCTCGGTCGGCTCGGTCCAAAAAGTCTGGATCCGAATGGGGAAGATTGGTGGTATTCAACGGAATGGGGGCATGCATTATGTAGGTATTATATGGATGTTATATGGATATTATATGGATATTATATGGATATTATATGGATATGATATGCATATTATATGGATGTTATATGGATATTATATGCATATTATATGGATGTTATATGGATATTATATGCATATTATATGGATATTATATGTTTTTGTATTGTGAAAAACGTGATGGCACAAGTGCCCCCTATTTCCAGCCGGAGAAATCGTCAAGTCGCTGCAGCATCATCTCACGATCTTGTGCCACCTGCAGATCGGTTGCCGTCGCTGTCGAAAAGTCCAGTTAGCAATTTCCATGTTGAGATCAGCATGATATACCTGGTTTAACCATGGTTTATAGGTGATATATCTATAGTTTTCATGGGATTATAACCCATTTATCATGGATATCCCAACTGAGATTCCCCAAAATGATGGATTTACCATCTGGTTATGACTAACATAGCCATGGAAAATCCCTTATAAATGGAGGTTTTCATGGGAAAATCATCTATTTCTATGGGCCATTTTCCATGGCTATGTTAGTCATAACCAGAGGGTAACCATCATTAACCATCATCAACCATCATTAACCATCATTAACCATGTGGGATATGATGTTCTTCCTTACCATCATTTCTCCGGTCAGCCGGTGAGGGTCTTTGGATCATGGCCAACCTTTGATGCCCAAGAAACTTCTAACTTTCAGGTTAGTATGTATCCCATATAAATATACATCCCCATTGATGGACTTTTATGGCACCTTTCAGCACTCAACCAAGGTTGAACTCACCATGATCTAACCGGTGCAAGGCTCCCGCCTGGTATTCCTGCTCGATTTCGAACTTCTGATGCATCAGCTGTTCGATGGTGTTCTGGTCCTGTCGGCGGGCGGCGCAAGCGCGTCTTGTTTCTTCGGACGCCCTTCGGATGCCCTTCGGATCAAAACATCAGTGAAACGGGGCTGTTCCGGAAGACACCAATTGGGGCTGAAAAAGACATCTTGGCACTGCAAAGGGCGTCCGGAAGCATTGTGGGTCAACAAGTTTCCAAGCCATTCCAAGTTTGTTCCAATCTATAGTTACAGTATATATTGATAAATACCAGTAACTCCCAGTTAATATATATATATATGTATTATATTATTGGATGGTTCCTTGGTTCCTGTCATTTTTTCGTGGTAAATCCCACCTGTCCGGCCAAAACAAATAAGTGGATGATACAACAAGTCCCATGCCCATCAGCGGCAAAAAGGGTCTTAAAGTTTTGACCCATACTGATGCGGGTTACAACATATTATAAATAATTGATATATATATATATATATATATTTTTGGGGGGGGTTAAAAGTGGTCACCTGCAGCACCCCATAGGCTGCAGCACGGATTTTTCTTGAGCCATCAGAAGTAGCGGAGCGTTTAGCCATGTACATGTCATCCTTAGTGCAGGGGCCATGCTTGTAAAAACGAAGCTCACCCTTCTACACCTTGGACCTTGGCATACCAGCAACTGTACATCCTAGAGGTTAGAGTGTTCCATGAATCACACTCCCCCTACCTCATTTTGAGGTACAGCTACCTAAAACAAACAACTTTTGGCGCAGCAGCACTAGGAAAAAGCTGCAAAAGCGCTCACCAGGTCTCCCCAGAGACCTCACTCCAGCTGCCGCCATCGCTCAGTTCCTCTTCGGCAGGAGGTAGGCCATCCCTACGCTGAAGATCAGCCAAAACCGGTTGAGCTCGTCGACCAGCTGAAGTCTGTGCTTTTGGCCTCACCGCAGGTGCTCTTGGTGTTGGGAGCGGAGCGTAGGACTTCGCCGTAGCCGCCCGGCTCACATCAACACGGTTCTCTTCCCCACCAGGTAGGTCAGGAAGAAGCCCAAGATGCCCCTCGGCTCCATCAGGCAACCTCAAAACTGCAGGCTGAAGCTCACCACGATCATGCGGTCCTCCAGCTCCGTCACGTTCAGGTAGGTGAAAACGATGCCCTTCTCCACGAGCATCATCACCAGAGCTCCGAGACACAGTGCGATCATGCACGGTCCCAGTTTCATTCTTGAGGCGGAAGAAGGTCCACCCAGTCCACCTTGAAGTAGCGGGGTTCACTGGCTCCACATCCCAGCGGTCCGTCTTGACAAAGCGGCGGTTGGTGTCCTCCTCGAAGCCCACAGTCACACGTAGAGGAAGAAGATCTCCACCTGCAACCGGAGAGGCACGGTGGATGGGCTGGAAAGTGCGTTTCCTTGGATCCCTGTGGACTCTAACAAGCCATCCACGTTGGATCCAGGAACTTTCCCATCTGTCCTTCTTCCCAGTCGGCGGAGGCGTCGAGAACTCAGGTAGTTCCCACGGTGCCATGGCCGCATCCACAGTGACTCGCATAGCCTTCATGCTGTAGGACCCACCATCAGGCGGAGGACGCTTGGTTCCCGAGCCATCATCCAGGTCCTTTCTCGCATGGATGTCATAGTCCTCATTTTCTTCCTCATCAGGTGGATGGTCTTCAGCTGGAGGCTCGCCTTCCGGTTCTCCAGCTCCATGCAAACCCTGAGAAGTCCATTTTCCCCAGGAATCATCCTCGTCATCCTCAGCGGCGCCCGGAGTCTTCCCCTGGCCTTTTCCTTTTCCCAAAGACTGCCGGCGATCTCCACTAGGAGCTGGTCGGTCGGTTGAAGATCCAAGGCCATCGCCACTGGCAGTTGAAGAACCCACGCTGCCTCGACTCGGTGGTAGCAGAGGTTCGGGAACGGGTTTTCCTTTTCCTTTGGGACCAGTTGGGTCGCTGTTCGCTTCTTCATTCTCTTCACCAGAGCTGATGACCTCTGGCCCGTTCTTTCCTTTCCCTTTTCCTTCTGGCTCAGCAAGGGGACGGATCTCGATCAGACCGTCACCTCTGCGAATTTCCAGGTCACCATCCGCATTCACGAAGGATACCACGATCTTTTCGCCTCCCCAAAAGAAGCCTGACTCAATGTCGCGGCGACCATGACCACGGACAGTGTAAGTGGTTCCATCTGGGTTCTCAGGCCCCTGAGAAGAGGCTGGCTGACTGCCCGTCGCAGTCGGAACCTCTTCGCCAGTAGGTTCGTTGTCTTGAGGAGGTAGAGGAGCTGGTAGCGGAGCAGCACTCGTCGCTGTCTTCGGAGTAGCCTGCATCAACGTCACAGGCCCTGGCTCCCCTGCGACTGTTTCCTCGGACTCCTCAAGCTTTCTGTTTTCCCAGCTCGGCCACTCATCTTCCTTCTCTTCTTCATCAAAGGCCTCTGCACTTGGGCCCTTCTCTTCACTTTGATCAGCCTTCGCGGCCTTGTTTTTCTTCTTTCTCTTCCTTTTCTTTTTCTCCCCGGTGTAGATGTCATCGTACATGGAGCTCTTCGGCCACGGCTTACGATCATCTCCACCATCACCAGGACCATCTCCACCCTCGCCACCAGCATCAGCAACGCTGGTCGCCATGGCTTCAGCACGGAGCGCCCGGACGTTGGGGCAGCCCGAAGGGCAGTAGTTCCTGAACCCGGCAACAGTCACACCGGAGTTGAAAACCTGTGCACCTTCGCCACTGAAGTCGTTTTCACAAGTGCCGTCAACCACGTTATCCCCAAAAATCGATTTCCCAAAATCAAATTCCCCAAAAGAGGTGGGACTTTGTGGTTTCAGGGTTTTCTTTATGCTGGGTTCATTTTCCCTCAGCAATTGGTGGTTTGGACCGGGTTCATTTTCCCTCGGCCATCTTGTTTCAGTAAGTTGGGTTCCTATGCCGGGTTCATTTTCCCTCGGCGTTCTTGACTTTCTTTTGAGACAACAAAGGTGAGACTTCCATCTTTGTACAACATGGCACACACCAGCTGCTACTGCACAGATCCCTAACCTCCTAATCCGGTGGTGCTCCTCAGTGGTCGGTTTCCACCTTTCAAGCTCTACAGCTACAGTCAGCCCCTTCAGAGCCCATTCTCTACAGATTCCAATCTTCTTCAAGGTCTCCAGGTCCTCCGGCTCAGCCATGTCGTAGAGCCCTGCAAACCTCCGGAATCTTGACCAAGTAGCCCCAACGGTGATTGGCTTCGTCAGGAAATCTGCCGCAAGTTCCACACCCGCCATGTGTTTCACCTTCCACACCTCCTGTTGTACCGCTTCGTGCAACGCCCTAGAGCGCAGCCTGAGATGTCTCGATCTCCACGGTCCATTTGGGTTAAGTACGACCTGGATTCCCGATTGAGAATCACCGTACAACACTCTGGTTCCCTTTTCTGTTAACCTTCCTTCCTCAAAAAGGTCAACCAAGACCGCCACCGAGTCTCCAAGGCTCATAGCGTCCACGTACGAAGTGACTTCAGACTCAGAGCTGCTCAGCGTAGCAAAACTCTGTCGCTTACTTTCCCACTGGATCAAACCACCTGCCCAGACAGCAAGGAGACCCTGGTGGGACCTCTCCCCTCCTGGACCGAAAGACGCATCCGAGTGGACTTCCAACGTATTGGCATCCCTGCAGAATGCCAAATTCCCATTCGGCCCACGGTCGGCCTCTTGACACTTTTGGTATAGCAGACCATGACCCACTGTGGCCTTTAAGTAGCCAAGCGTTTGCCTACCAAGTTGGCAAACCCTCTTCGGACATTTGGATGCTCGGGAACCCATCCAACTCACTGCATATGCCACGTCCGGCCGCGTCTTTGTGCTTACCCACAAAAGTTCGCCGACCAGAGTCTGCGCCCTTTTGACATCTGCAGGCTCCGGTGGTGATTCCTCGACATCCTCAGTCCTTGCAATTGGTACCAGCGCTTCTGGTACCTCCGGGTATCGATCCAACAGATCCTTGGTGTAGGATTCTTGGGAAAGGAGGATGCCGCCCCTCGGGTGCAGCTTCAACTCCATCCCACAGAATCTCAACATTCCCTTTTCTGAGAGGTACTCCGCTTCGGAGCAGTTCCACTCCTGGTTTATTCGGTTCAGACATCCCTTGATTACTTCGGTTGGTCCACAGACCAGGACATCATCGACATAGAAGGTACAAAAACCTTCTACCCGTTCATCCGAGTCCGCTCTTCCTGGCTCCTCGCTCGACACGAGTTGCCAGACATTTGGTTCGACCGTTTGACGCATCCAGAACGACCTACCGTTTGAGCTCCACTCAAATTTCTTGACCCTTTGGTCGCGGAAGCTACTCCAGTCGGCCGGACTGGTCTCCAGGCCGTACATCGCCTTTTGGATCACCCACCTCTCTTCCGGCGGACAGATCCCAGCCTGCACCAGCAGCTTCGATGGGATGGTCATCATCAGGCACTCCTGCTCCCTTCGGCGTGGGGCAAGCAAGAACGCGCCCTTGATATCTAGGACTCCCATGTCCCACCCATCTATCATGGCGGTCTTTCTGACCATGCATCGAATGGCGGTGGCATCAGCTCCTCCAGCGTACAAGTCCGCTGCCGTCACTGGAGTCGCCTGAGTCTTGTTGCCATCCTCGTGAGCCTTCGTCACCAGGTTTCCACAGATCACAATCCGTGCCTTGCGTTTCCCATTTGGCGATTTAACTGTGGCAACCAACTTGCTTGGTGCTAGCTCCATGTCTTGATAGCCTTCCATGGCCTCCAACTCACTAAGCTTAACCGGTTTCACCGCCTGGCTTTCATACACAAGCTGGTTGTACTCGGCCTTAATTGGTTCAATCCAGGATTCCATATCCCGCTTTACCATCGTCAAGGGGATTGTGTAGGTTTGCAAGACCGTCGGGGGCCTGCTCACACCTTGGTTCTCATCCCCTGGTTGGCCATCCGTCGACAAAGCTGCGATTCGGGCATGTCTCTCACACTCTTCAGCTTCCAATGCCTCCACCTTGGCACCTTCTTCTTCGATCCGGGAATAATGCTCCAATTCACTTTCCAGCCATCTCACTTGGGTACTCACGTGTTGCACGACTTGTCCTTGCGCCGCACCTTCTTCTTCTGTTCCAGCGACTGCATTCACCTGTTCCTGCAGAAGTTTTCTCAGATTCCAGTGCTGGTAGCGGAGCTCATTCACATACTCCTCTACTTCCGTCTTTTCGATCTCCCCCCAACCTTCAAGTTGAGTTCCATCCACAAGAGACTCCCCCCCAGCTCGTAAGGCCATGAGAGCTGGCAATCCCAATTCTGCCTCAGGTGGAACCAACTCAGAGTCAGACAAGATAGAGGGCTCATACCCATCTTCTTCCTCAGCGTCGGCCACAGCCAACAAGGACTCAAGTTCACGGTCCTCCCGAGGAGGTGGTAAAGGGATCTTGGAAACCTCCACAACCAGTGGCTGCTTCCCGTTGAGACGTCTTTTGGGAGGATCCTTGGGATCATCGACCGTTTCCAGCTCCAAACGAGCTGTTTCTCCAAGAGGATCAGGAATGAACACGGACCGTGCGTGCTGCACAAGGTTGGCTTCTTCATCAGGAGCAACCCAACCGTTAGTCATCTGAGGTGAAGGGCCCATAATTCGAAGCGTCTTGTAAGGGGATGACAACGCCCCTTCTTTTCGACGATGCCACAGTTTGGCCTTAACCTGAGCCAACACAGCAAAGGGTGGCATCTCCTTACACTTGGCCCCCAACTTTCTCATTTGGGCACGCAATCGTTCCTCGACTCCGTGTCGGGCCGCGCATGGCCAGTAGTCATGACTCACTCCCGTTTCTGCCAACAAAAGGCGAAGTCGACGCTTGAATTGGTTGATTTCCCCTTCAATTCGTCCATTGGCTTCAGGCTCATCGCCTGCATTGAAAGTTTGATGGACCTGGCGCATTTCGCACCACTTGGCCACGTGATTGGTTGTGAAAGATCGCTCCCGATCAGAGTGCACACGGTAAATGGGTATGCCAAGGCTCTTCGCCCGGGCATGCACTTTGGACAGTGCCTTTGTAATTTCATTCTGGTGACGAGACGCAAGTGGCTCCATGAAGGTGATGTTCACCACTGGAACATCCTTGGATATCTCCTTGACTTCCTTTTTGACGAACTCTTCCCACGCCTGGTTTCTCTTCCGGGCTTCTTCCTCTGGGATCAGATCCCTGGGCTCTGGATCCAAGAGAAGCTCCCCAGAGGCTTCCACTTCCTCAGCTTCGGGAACAACTTCTTCCTTTTGAGGTTCCACCGCCGCCGTGGAATCCTCCTTCTCCCCCGGACTTGGCCACTGAGGCACAGGGATAGTCGCCAGCAAGGCATACTTTACCTTTCTGCGTTTGGAGACACCAAGGTCGGTGCCCTTTTTGAACGGACCACAGATGTCTACAGACATCACAAAGGCGGATTCTTGACCCCTCTTTCGGCGATGTGGCTCAGCCGAGCCCATGGTTTCCAAGCAGACCTTACAGTCCCGCCGGTATGGCACGTGTTGTGCCTGCAGATGCTTCTTCCATCCCGCTAAGTCCAACTTGCTCAGCATCGGTTGCTGAGCCTGGCTCGCCAGAAATTTGGGTATCACAATCTTGAGAGCAGCCATCAGACCTGGAGCCCATGCAGACCAAGAAGCCGTCTGCTTCAGCCGCTCCCGGAGATCCATGCACACACTCTCTCCAGATTCCTTCGAGGTAATCCCATCAAGTTCCTTCAGCTGGACTATGTTGGTCAGAAGCGTTGTGGGTTTGGGGCGTGGGTGCCCTAGAGCCCCTTGATCCACCCTGACCTTGAACATGTCTGGGTTTCGTTTCAAGAAATCTTCTGTTTCCTCCCATTCCCAGAAGGACGGATACTCTTTCCCATCTTCCATATACTCGCATGGATCTTGGGGACTTTCCACCAGAAGACCACACTGACCCAGAATGCCATTCGCCACCATTCCCTCTCGAGATTTCTCATAGAGACCGAGAGTTTTCAACCACAGGGCGGTATCTCCATCCACCTTTGTCATTTCTCTTTCAGTTAGATCATCCAAAGCGAATCTGTGATTCCTTCTGCCACGCAAAGGGCGAGGACCTGGGATCTTATGCCTAAGACGACTCACTGTCCTGCATGGCGGTCCGGCGGTTATCATCCGGATCCGGCCCCTTTCAGCCAATCCCCACAGATACGCCCACACCCCAGCGGCGTGTAGATCTTCTTGAGCGTTCGATGAGATGTCAACGGTCAGCACCTCGGTGTCTGATCCCGTGAGATCCCGCCATCTCCTGGATTCTCCCCCGGACCCAGAGAAAAGATGGATCACCACACCACCTCGAGCTCTTTCCAACCTCCTCCGCTTTGCCCTATTCCAAGGCAAAGGGGAGGCAATTTCTTCCCAGTTCAGCCCTTGGCCCCTCATCAAAGACCAGATTCTCTCAGGGACCTGTGGATACTTCTCCTTCCACCATTCGATCTCCTGAGCCGGTGGCTCACAGTAGTCTCCCACTCCACCATTCTCAAGTGACTCCAAGAGACTCAAGGCTTCACTTCTGTCCATCACTGGACACCCTTGGCGTCTGACACACTGCAGGTTCCCATGTTTCGGGTGTGAGATGTCACAGCGATCCTTCTGCCAGTCGATCTTGAATCCGTGATCTACTAGCAGCCGCAATGGAATTATGGGTTCCACGTTATCCAGTGCCAACAGCGTATTGTGCGCTGCGCACCGATAGAGCGTGACACTTCCCATCGCCATTTCAACTTGGACTGGCCAAAGATGCGGAACTTCGGAGCTCTTCGCCTGTCGCAAAGCGTGAGTCGCCCCCCCATCTAGCAAGGCGTACTCTCCTCCGCACTCCTCGTCCATTTTCACCGTCTTGATGAATACCGATTTGATCGACGTCATGGACTTAACCAGACCGTTGAGGTTCTGCACCAAGTCACCTTCCTGCTTGGGCTGGGAACCCTCAGATCTTTTTTCCGGTTGCGGATTTTCCTCCGCTGCCTCCTTCACTACTGTTGACTCTTTTTGGCTCTCCTTCTCAGTGCTCTTCTCCCCTTTCTTATTGAGGACCTTAGCGACCTTCCGGTCACCTTTCTGTGTCCAGCCATTTCCATCTTTAGGCTTGGCTGTGGGACAATCCCTTTTACGGTGGCCTGTTGATGAGCAAAACAAGCACCTTGAGGATTTCTCCAACGTTCCCCAGGCGTGTGCGAAACCGCACTTCTCACCCCTGCGACACCCTTCGTCAGTGCCCCAGAAACGACACGGCGCTTTCTCACCTTCTGGCCTCTCCCATGGCTTCTGCCCTTCCCCCGTGAAGGCCTTGACAGCCGGATTCCCCTGCGTCAGCACCGGAGCCAACGCAGGCGGATTCGACGGCGTCGCCTTCCCAGCAGTCTGCGCATTAGCCAACTCTTCCAGCTCAGCTTGGATGTACTCGGCCCATTCCTTGACCGAACCAAGGCTTGGAGCTCTATCTACGTCCAGCTGTTGGCGCATGGTCGCCAAGCGGAATGCCACCTGACTTCCACCCAATTTTGAAGCTCCGTCAGCGAACTTCGACAACACACCTGTCAGAACCAGAGGATCCACTGTTACACTCAGCTCCTCCGACCTTCCCACTGATCGGCGCCATTGCCGAACGGACCCCAGCAGTTCCACCAAACCTGCTGGCACCTTGGCCTCGCTGATGGACTTGATCAATCCTGTCCTTTCACCCGAACCACCAGGTTGAAAGGTGGTAAACAATCGGAACAGAATCCCGACCGTCGAGAGACGCCGCGATGCTATGACGTCCTGTCGCAAACCTTCTGGCAAAGCAGCTAGCAACATGGATACTGACCGCTGTTCCAGTCTTGCGTAGCCTTCACCGATCACTGGTGATCCTGGTTTCATGCGCAGCTTCTCCAGCGGCGTGGCAACCAGCCACTGCTGATAGTGGTGTTCCACAGTTTTCACTGTCAGACTCCACCATTCTCCAGCACTTCCAGAAAGATCACTCATCAGTGGATGCACCACAGTCATCCAATCCCCGAACTGGATGGACGCACCTTCACTTCCCGGTGTGGGAAGCTTTGGTAGCTCCAGGGCCCTCAAAGCCTCAGTCAGAGATGGTCCCGGCTGAGCTAGCCCAGCTTGATTCCTTCTTTGGAATCCCGGATCAATCCCTGGAGGTGGGGACGGCATTCCACCGACTCCTCCCAACGGCTGAGAAGTTCCCAAGGCCTGGCCAACCACGGCCTGTCCCTGTCCAGCTCCACTGGATGCTGACTGGTACGATTGGGTTTCCTCGGTCTGACCTTGAAGCCTTCTCACCTCCTTGGCGAAAGCTTCCTCTGCCTCCCGCATCACCCGCTTTCTGATCTCCTCAACTGCCATCGCAGCTGGGTCCATCATCATCTGAGTCCCTCCCGATGGATCTGTTCCAACAGGAGCTGGGTTCCCCCCTCCAGCCAATGCCTGCATGGGAACCGGGCTCACCATTTGCATGGGAACCGGGCTCACCATGGAAGCCAGTGCCAGGGCATTTGGGTATTTCATTTGCATTTGGTGCTTTCACTGTGGCCCTGGCATGCCAAAAGCTCCTATTATTACGGTGCTACTTAAGGCCATCAGGAAGTTATCAGCCGTATGGAAAGTTCCAGCCGAGATGCCCTTGCAAATGCCTGGGTCTTCATTTCAAGTGGTGCAAGTATTTAATGCCATCAGAGGTTATCAGCCGTATGGAAAGTCCTAGCCAAGATGCCCTTGCAAGCCTTGCCATCAAGGTGCAGTTATCATTTTTTTTTACTCAGGTTGACTACTACCATTTAGACATTAAATATCTTGAGCCTATAGGAACATTATATATTATATATTATATATTATATATTAGTTCTGCCTCATGATTTCTGTCACCTGTCACCTGTCATATAGCCTCGTGATTTCAATCTCTGTCACCTGTCAAGTATCCGTTCCCTGTCCCCTGAGCTGTCAGTTTCCCGTAGACGATTTTTTTCGTTTTCGCAGAAAACTGTGACAGAAGACTGTGACACCCAAGGTTTGCACCTGAGAACAAGCAAGGCGCAAAAAATTCCACTAGACAGGAGACAGTTGGCTGAGAAGAAGACTGTCAGATGTAGCCCGAAACCTGCGCAAGAAAATGGTTCATCATCGAAGGAACAAAAAACAACATGACACTAGGAGCTGTGAGGTTTACAGCAACGTTATTTCCAACTAGGAGCTCCAAGAAAATGCTGCTGCAGCTTTACACTTTGTTTCCAGCAACTCACTGCAAGTCTTGCTCCACTTCAATGCCATTCTCTCGCATGACGACACATTCTGCATCATCTTCGACATCTGCTGCATCATGATGTGAACCATCTGTTTGAACAATGCGGATTGGTCGCGGAGCGGTCTGCCGAAAAGGGTTCAGGTTGACAGGGACAGGTGACTGTGACTGATATGCACTTTGCTGCAAAAATGAATACTGCGCTGGATGCGGTTCTCGTCTCAATGTCCCAGTGATCCATCCAGTCAAGAAGGCGTGGGCCTTCTGGCTGATAGCTTGCCTCAGTCAACTGTCAGTTCTCTCTAAAAAATCTGTCAACTGTCAACTGTCAGTTATTCTTTTTGTGACAAAGAAAAAAAACAAGACAAAACAAGTTCAAGATGCTTTGCAAATGCAGCATCTGCCTTCACTTTCACTTCATTGCGAATCTTCCAAGCTACATGCCTCCGAGGGTGCTCTCCAGAAGGCTGCCATGTGAGCCGTGAAATAAGCCCTGGCAAGGACTCTGCTCGGATTGCCACCTCTGCTTGAAAGGGCTTTGGTGAAGACTCAAACATATGACATAACAGCAGAATGTCTTCTGGATGGCCTGGGGCAAATTCATATTGAAGGCTGTCTAAGTCTTTCATTGACAGCATTTTTCGCTTCAAGATCCTGAAGAGGTGTGGAGCCTTGGGGCCTGTCAGGCCAGTCAGGGTGACTGGTATCTCTTCCAGCCACTTGTCCCACTCTGGGCTTGAATCGTGCTTCCATGCTTTCCGGAAGTAGCAAGATGTTTCCAATGAAGCATCATCCAAAAAACGTTGATACACCTCGACCAATTCCTGGGCCGTCTCAAAAGTTTCATGACTGCATCTTGTCACTGCCTGGCCACCCACTGCGTCCAAGCATGTGTGGGTGTGCCCTTTTATCGGAAAACCGATATTGCAAGTGTCAATGACACCCAGTGCAGTCAATTTCAACCAGAAGCGAAGCATCTTTGAGTTTTTGTTGTCCCGAGCGGTGTTGTCTAATAACAGAAATACCTGTCGGGGTATCCCTGTGATGTCATGCACCCACGACAAACACCTCGCCAGTGCATCCACATGGTTGCAGGTGTCTTTGCAAACATCGGGGTCTCCCACTGACAGGCTGAAGCCATGACCATGAACCCAAATAAGTTGTACATGGCAAGCTGGGCGAATAAGTTCATCAAATGTTTTGGACTTGACATGAGCCCTGGGAACTTTATGTTTGGCTTGGTCCAAGCCGTCTGACCTGATGACAAGGACAGATGACGGATGACTTCGAACATTGGATGAGACACTCAATGCTCTTGTTTCAAAAGCCAATGCTGTCCATGCACTGTCAGCAGCTCTGTCACGCCAGTTCTGCAAGAGGTGCTCCGCGTATTCCTGGATGAGTCTGTTCCGCAAATGAAGGGCCTTCACCCTTTTCAGCTCACGTTTGAACCAAGCGCATTGGTCACAAACTGCATGTTGCCCTGAGGATTTTCGAAAAGCCAAAAATTGTTTGGATCCTTGAAGCGCACGTCGGAAAGTGGTAAAAGATGGTGCTTTCTTTCCGGCATAATTCTCCTTGTGCCACCGTAACATCATCTCAAACAAGATCTGGGGCTTCACCACGCCAAGCCATCTGCGCGGGGCTGCTCCAGCTCCTGGGCCTGTCAGTGAATTGTTGAAAGGGGTGTCTGTGAGTAGCTGCCTGAGAGACAAAGTTGCCAGCTTCCGTGCATCCTGCTCATCCCATTGAGCCTGTGACATGCTTGAAGCTGAATCCGAAGATCCATAAACTTGGCCGAAGATCCACTCTTCTCGCTCAGCTGTTTCAATGAGATTCTCTTTGTCTTCGTGGGCTGCTGCTTGATCAGTCGCCAACGCAGCCACGTCTGGAAGCATGGTGACATTCCAAGCCATAGGCCATTGCTTGATGCACATCTTGATCTGTCCGTCAAGGGCCTAGATTCAAATAACTCAGAGATTCTACAAGTCCAATGGATACAAAGAACAAACCTTGATGCGAGCAAGTGGCATCACCTTTGAGCACTGCATCCTTGACATTCTCAAAGTCAGTGGGCTTCAGGTCAGCGGAGCAGCAGTCTGCAATGCCACGGGTCCATGATGTAACAACAAAGCGGTAGGTCCACAACTGATCAACAGTGACCTTGGAAGATCCATCGTGGTTGGAAAGGGTGTCCTCCTGGATGCTAATGATCTTGTCCATGATCAGGTTGTGATCTTCTGGTGATAATTCTCCACCAAACTCCAACTGCTTTGACCTTGGATAATTTTGGAATGAACAACAATATATGAAAGTGAATAATCACTACCAACAAATGAATAAATAAACGCTATACCGCTATATATATATATATTAAATATAAATATTTAAAAATGTATATATATATATATATATATAAACACATGTATATACATATATATATATACATATTTTTATATATATATATATACACATGTATATATATATATATATACACTATATTAGATATACATATATAAAACTATTTTTTGAGCAAAAGCACATCAGCCGGGGGGGCACCAACTTGGCGGCAGCAGCGGCGCCTGCTCTGCGAGCATACTCTTCCGCTTCGGATGGGAACATTCCATCAGCAGGCATTGATGTTGGCCACAAATGTTTCCAGGAGAATACAGACTCATTGACAGATGACTCCGAGAAGAATGACAGATGACACTGCAAAGCACGATAGCTTTCGAACGTGCAGTAATTCAACATATGCTTGATTGCCGTCTGCTTTGCGGTGCCGATCTTGATCTCACGATCCTTCACAGCCAACTCTGCGTTTGAGTCTTGCTTTCCACTGTCCTGTGTCCTCTTGACACGTCGTCTCTTCACGGCCTTTGAAAACTTGAAGCTGAAAACTTGAAGCTGAAAACTTGAAGACTGATAGTAATTTTCCTTTTGGTTTGGGATTTTTACTGGTGACTTTTTGTCCTGTTTTTGGAACCCTTTTTGGGCACAAAAAGTCGCCCTTCTTAACCCCTTTCGCGCAGCCAAACCAAATTACAAAAAACTGAGATGACTTTTCTGAAAAAACAAGAAGAAAGTAAAGCAGCTGAATGCTCTTCAAGGCACCTGTTTCTGTCCAACTACAATGCCCTCAGCATTCACCTTGCTGTCGAAGCCACACAGCAAGCTCTCGAAAGTTTTTACCAACCGCTTGCCAACCTCCTTTCTGGCCAAACGGTTCTCAAAACTCAGCAGCTGCTGGACATCCCCATCAGGGTATGCAGCGACAAGCACCAAGTCACACCATTGAATGCAGCTCAGAGGTTTGATCATACTGCCTTTGACATTCTGGCGGAATGCCTGCTGAATCAAAGAATCATTGGTGGATGCCGTGCCTTCCCATAGGGTGGGAACCTTCAAGAGGGTCTTGAAAATCTGCAAGGCTGTGTGATCCGTGCCCAGCTTTCCCTGCTCAATTTCAGATCTCATCAGACACCACCTCAGGTCAAAGTGACATTACAACAACACATTGTGAAGTTCAAACATATCAAATCAAAACATACATGAAGCCTAGTGGCACAAGTTTGCAAGCCAATGCTCGTTTGACTCCATCACCAAGCCGACAAGATCCCAATTCTCCAAGGCTGGATGGCAAATCCCTTGAGACAATGGTTTCTTCTGCCCTGAACCCTGAAGTGATGATTGAGTTGGCGGTGCCGATGATGTTGGCTGCTTCACAGCTTGAGCCACTCCTGATTGCTAGATGCACACATGACTGTCATATTGTCATCTGTCATATTGTCAAAACTTCACACTGACATATTGTCATCTGTCCATGACTGTCTGAAGATTATCTGCAGCTGGGAAGCCATAAGGATGATGCGTCCCATCGAAACATGTGCGGCATGGAACTAGACACCATGCCCTCCGAACAGCTTTTCAAAGTGTGGTCCACTGACTCACTTGCAAACTGAGATGCTGCTTCATCATCCTGAGATGTGCGAATAATTCACACCAAAACTCACACCGACTGACTGACTTTAAGGCGCATGAAAGCCTACATGTCTCCAAGAATCTTCCCCACTCAAAGCCTTGAACATGCTGGCAATCTCTGCCTTCACGTCCTCAACCGCACTTGGCAAAGTCAAGCCTGCGATCTTCGTAGCCAAGAGCTCCCTGGTGGTCGTGCACTCCTGTGCAGGGAAGC